CCCCCGCCTGCCCCCGTTGTCCCCGACGCGGTCCTGTCCCGCCGTGGCCCCGGGGCCGTTCCAGCGCCCGTCGAGCTGATCGCTGACTGAAGCCGGGTCCTGGCGCCGCCGCCCTGCCGGCCGGCTCCCCCGGGGCTGAGTGCGGGCTCGGCACAGCCCTGCCCCGCTTTGCGGGGGCGGTGGCGGCGCCCCCTCAGCCTGTGGTGATGGTGCCTTCACCACGCACCTCCTGCCTCTCTGCGCCTCCGCTCCTGCTCCAGGCAGCTGCCATGGCTGTCTCTGAAGCTACACCAAAAGCCAGGATCTGCTAAAGGGTCCCCAGTGAAGCCAAACAAAGTGCCCTCTTGCACAGGAGAGCATGAAGCACGGGCACTTCTGTCTCTGCTGCCGTAAGTGCAATGTTGTATGATGGCTGTTGGAGCTGCTTGCTGGCACTGATGGGGAGTCCTGTCAGCTAGGTGCCTCCAATGCACCCTTCCTTCTTGCTCAGGCGCTTGCCCGGCCCCTCGTTCACCTTAACACTCTAATCCTGTGGAAAGAAAGTGACTGTGCGTCTAATGAGCTGAACAAACTCACTGGGGGCAGCCGGAGGGTGTCGGGCAAGTGTCAGGCCTGTGCAAGGGGAAGGGTGAGGTATGGCAGGAGTTAAGAGCACAGCTGGTAGGAAGACTGTGATGTGCACAGGTGTCTCCTGAAAGCTAACCTGGAGTGGAGACCTGGGATTACAAGTAATTTTGGAGTTTGCGTTTGGGATCTTGTGTCTTGAACTCCCAGTAGTAAACAAGATGAATGTTATCCTTGGGTATGTGAGCAGAGAACCGGCCTAGGGAAGGGACTTCCATGGTATATAGTGGAAATTATTAGACTGATGTTACAGTATTAAACCAGAGCTAGCTTCTGCGTGCTAAGAAAGAGGCTGCAAAATTAAGAAGTGAAGGTGTAGTGATCTGGAGCAGGAGACCACTGCCTGTCGAGGAGTTAAGAGATCACAGAGCAGTGAGCTGGTGCTGTGTGCCCAGGGTGGCCCTTGGGCTGTGCTGTGCCCACCATCCCTTGGCCACAGGATAACCTCAGCGAGCCCACGGCAACAGAGGAGCATGCAGGCAGCTCACAGTTTTGGTACCAGCGACTGGACAACCTAGACTTCTTCTTTCCTGTTTTTCCTGAATCTGCTGCAGTCATTACTTTGACGCTGAGGATTATTCTTCTGCCTGGCAGCAAAACATAGACAGTGGTGATGGGCAGCTTGCTCTGTTTGCTGTCTCACTAAACAGCTTGACAAGACGGGAGTGAGAGCTGGAGAAATGAAAGACACTGAAACGAGGTTTAGTGATTGCACTGGGCAAGCCACAGAAACCCCAGCAGTGTGGTACGCCGGAGCTTTGTGCAGTAACAGTGATGGAAAGCATCTCTCCAAGTCCAACACACCCTGCAGCCTGGCGTTCCTGACACTGGTGACACTGATTTGAGCGCCTTCTGGCTGAGGAGAGTCCCGGGGCAGCTTATCAGTTTAGAATATATGATTCCAAAGAAAACTGACAATTTATTCTGGCACCAGGCCCTGGAACTAACAGGTGCTTCTTGCTGTTGAAGATCTGCTCATCATGAGGTGACTCATCCTGCGAGCTCTCAGCGGAGGGCAATTTCACAGTCACTGTGAACTCCCAAAATGAGGAAGAGCAGATCTTCAATCTCAAGGCCACCCTATATAATTGCTTTGCGGGCGTTTTCCTGGAACATGATTCTTCATTGCACACTGGGTGGTGAGAGCTCAAAGGGAGCACACCTCCCAGCTGATAGCCCACGTTTTGACAATCAGATTGCTTACTTTCATTTCAGGGGTTTGAAGTGATGCGTTTCCCACGTCATCTGCAGCCATGTAGCCTCAGGGCCACAAGCTGTCACTGCCCAGCACAGGTAGCAAAGTCCTGATGCTTCATTATGGTAGAAGGAATGGGATAAAAGAATTCTTGATGCCACTTTTTTTATTCCAGGGTCCAGCGCATCTCAAACAATTGGCAAAGCACTTTCCCTGGGCGGCCTGGACACAGAAATGCCCATCTGTCCTGAGAGGCAGAAATAGGCCATCTCTGCTCTGAGAGTCTGAAAGTGCAAATGTCCTTGTCCTGTCCCAAGACAAGGACCAAGAGTCACAAGTTGTATCAAGAGAAATTCCAGTAAGGGCAAAGGTCATGGGAAAATACTACTCATTCAGGGAATTTCTATGTATGTAATTTGTTTGGCAATTAGCAATCTATTAATTACTGATTTTGGGATCAAGGAAGACTGAAAGCAACCCACTCACTTCTTTCTGAGAAATTAACATATTCATAGTTTTCTTAGAGCTCATTAATATATGTAAATGTCCCCGACGCATGCACATTTATGTCCTTTGATGGTCTTTCAGGGTCCTCTGGTGGTCATTGACAGCCTTCCTCACCGTGTCTGCTGGTTGAACTCAACTCGTTCTTTTTGCTTGGTTTCAAAACTTCTTGTCTGCATGATACAGATAAAGCTTCTAATAAGCTTGTAAAACAGCTTAATGAATTGTAGCTTCTTTATCTATTGTGCTCAGGGACACGGAGTCTTGACACTTCCCCCTTATCTAAGTACTTTGTAACTTATTTTGCTAGAATAGCATTGCAAAGGTTTAACTGAACTCAGTATCACACAACTTTGCAACTATATTATTTTAAAAGATAGGGAACCATATTTTACACTCGGTATCACCTAGCCAGTTAGCTAACGCGTTACAGATGGGCAATTCTTCTTGCCCTTTTTTGAAAGAAGGAACCCTCTCCTCTCCTGCCAGTATTTGCAATGAAATCCTGCATTTATTTCTTCTCTCTTATCCTAAGGAGACAGCCTTGCCACCTGTGACCACAAAGCAGCCAGACAGGCTCTGAGGAACATTACAGATCATAGAATCATTTATGTTGGAGAAGACCTTTAAGATCATGAAGTCCAACCAGGCTGAACAACCTCAGTTCCCTCAGCTGCTCCTCACAAGTCTTGTGCTCCAGACCCCTCACCAGTTCCATTGCTCTTCTCTGGACACGCTCCAGCACCTCCATGTCTTTCTTGTAGTGAGGGGCCTGAAACTGCACATGGTATTTGAGGGGGAGCCTCACCAGTGCTGAGTACAGGGGGACAATCACTTCCCTTCTCCTGCTGGCCACACTAGTTCTGATAGAAGGCACGATGCTATTGGCCACCTGGGCACCCTGCTGGCTCATAGTCAGCTGGCTGTTGACCAACACCCCCAGGTCTTTTTACATGAGGCAGCCCTTCAGCCGCTCTGCCCCAAGCCTGTAGCACTGCATGGGGTTGTTGTGACCCACGTGCAGGACCCGGCGCTTGGCCTTGTTGAACCTCATACCATTGGCCTTGGCCCATCGATCCAGCCTGTCCAGATCCCTCCATAAAGCCTTGCCACCCTCAGGCAGATCAACACTCCCACCCAACTTGGTGTCGGCTGCAAACTGACCGAGGGTGCACTCGATCCCCTTGTCCAGATCAGTGGTAAAGATATTGAACAGAACTGGCCTCAGTACAGAGCCCTGGGAACACCACTTGTGAGTGAGCCCCAACTGGATTTAACTCCATTCACAACTCTCTGGGACGGGTCATGCAGCCAGTTTTTTATCCAGCAAAGCGTGTGCCCGTCCAAGCCATGGGCAGCCTGTTTCTCCAGGAGAATGCTGTGGGAAATGGTGTCACTTTACTAAACTCCGCGTAGACAACACCAACAGCCTTTCCCTCATCCACTAAGGGGGTCACCTTGTCCTAGAAGGAGATCAGGTTAGTTAAGCAGGACCTGCCTTTCATAAAGACGTGCTGCCTGATCACCTAGTTGTCCTGTATGTGCCACTTGATGGCACTCAAAATGGTCTGCTCCATAACCTTCCCCGGCACCGAGATCAGACTGACAGGCCTGTGATTCTCCAGATCCTCCTTCCAGCCCTTCCTGTAGACGGGCATCGTATTTGCTAACCTCCGGTCAACTGGGACCCCACCAGTTACCCAGGACTGCTGATAAACGATGGAAAGTGGCTTGCTGAGGTTGTTGTGACCCACGTGCAGGACCCGGCGCTTGGCCTTGTTGAACCTCATACCATTGGCCTTGGCCCATCGATCCAGCCTGTCCAGATCCCTCCATAAAGCCTTGCCACCCTCAGGCAGATCAACACTCCCACCCAACTTGGTGTCGGCTGCAAACTGACTGAGGGTGCACTCGATCCCCTTGTCCAGATCAGTGGTAAAGATATTGAACAGAACTGGCCTCAGTACAGAGCCCTGGGAACACCACTTGTGAGTGAGCCCCAACTGGATTTAACTCCATTCACAACTCTCTGGGACGGGTCATGCAGCCAGTTTTTTATCCAGCAAAGCGTGTGCCCGTCCAAGCCATGGGCAGCCTGTTTCTCCAGGAGAATGCTGTGGGAAATGGTGTCACTTTACTAAACTCCGCGTAGACAACACCAACAGCCTTTCCCTCATCCACTAAGGGGGTCACCTTGTCCTAGAAGGAGATCAGGTTAGTTAAGCAGGACCTGCCTTTCATA